CAGCCTCTATGAGACGCTCACCAGACCGTCTATAAACATTTCTGGTTGGGGACTCGGATTGAATCTGGCTGTGATCGCCGTCCTGACTGCGACGTTAAATAATTCCTGAAGAGATGGGGGCGCTCTTAATAATCCTCCTGATCAGCCAGATCAACCGGGTGTAAGGCTCGTCGGCATACGAGGGTAAATAAGAGTGTTGTGGCTGCCTTGCTCGACGATGACTTGAGGCACAGGGGTGGGACCGGATTGCACACCTTTAGACACGCTGCTCAACCAGATACTCAGGGACGTTGACACAAAGTGACTACTCAAGAGGGATACAGGGGGAGGGGGGATTCCGGTAACTGTTCGCAGTGGCAATCAACAGACAATCTGCCATCAAGCATACATCTCCAACAGGAGATGTTATTTTCTGTTCTGATTATCTAGTTGTCACGGACTTGCTGACAACTGACAGACAGCTACAGATAGACTAGATCTTTGTTGTATTGCAATTTGTTCCAGGGTAATCTAAAAATAGATGTAATATATCCTGTAGGACCTGACATTAGTTGTAATTATATCACCTAACTGTTTTGTCCCATCCGACCGAAAGTAATTGTGTTTCATAATCGGTTGTGTGTCAAGCTAAGGTAGGATTCAGTGTGGATTCYAGTTTAGATCACACACACTGTAGCTCATGAGTGATGCAAGCACAATTGAGGAGGAGTCACTAGTGGACGATCGTAGGACTACTCGCGGGACTGCCCGTAGTCAACCCTTGACATTCTTGGAGTTAGGTCCAGGAGACGAGAGAAGATTGAGGAGAGAGGCTAGAGAAAGGGCAGCGGCAAGGAGAGCGAGGGCAGCAGAGGAGAGTGCTAGAGCTAGAATTACAGCTAGCATCAGTACAACCATGGCTACCTCATCTATGACGCAACCCTCTACACAACCCACTTCGTCAGGAGTCAGTCAGAGTGGTGCTCAGGCGGTCACTAGTCAGATTGGTCATGTGCGAGTCAGCCAATCTCCTATCACGCCGGAGGACTTGGAAATCCGGCAAGCAGAAGAACTTCAGGATGAGGTACAGCGGCAGATGGACGGAGTAGTAGAAAGGAGAAGAAAAGCTATGCAACGAAAAGCTAGACTAGAAAGTAGATTGCAGGAGTTAGGCAGACTGGAAAGACTAGATGAGGCAACATTAGACCCTGCTATTCGTGTGCTGCGAGGCGCCTTACTTTCAGTGGCCGAAGCGCAAAGCGTTCAACAGGAATTGTTGGCTGATTTGGTAGCAGGCCAGAAACAAATTCTGGCTGAACTTAGGGGCATTCGCCCAACGGCGAGGCCGCCACAGTTTGCTGTAGTTCCCCCTGTAGGTGCGGGTCCATCATCGATGCCGCAACGCACAGGGCAAACTTTCTCTCCCATGTTTGGCATGCCCTCCCCGGGTGGTTTAGGTGCAACTAGTGGTCCGGTTCATTCAGTCTCAGCCGTACCGTCTACAACAGTGGTCACTACAGTCCCACTGTCCAGCCAGGCCCAGGTTCGTTTGCAACAGCCTGTTTCAGTGGCTATGCAGCCGCTGCATCAAGCACCTGGGCCCATGCAGCAGATGCAGTGGATGCCCAAGATACCTCTAATGAGTCCCAAGCCTTTCTCTGGAGACAAGAAGAGGGAGGAAGACTTGGACACCTGGGTGAGGACTGTGCCTACTTATGTGAGGCACAAGCTCACAAGGCCAGAACAGGAAGTGGTAGTGGCTGCCTCCTTTTTAGAAGGATCAGCAGCCCGCTGGTTGAATGGCTTGGTGCAGCAACAGGGCTACAGTCAAGATTTCGATGCCTGGGCTCAGTCTCAAACATTGGAACAGTTCGTACGGTTCGTCTACAACAGGTGGAATGACCCGCAAGGGGCTCAAAAGGCCACCGATGTTATCAACTACCTTTGTTCCCGTAGGTTCAAGGATGTCAGAGAGCTTACAAACACCGTAGAACGCCTTCTCGTGGTACCTGGTGTGCGTTTTGACCCGCAGGTTCTCCTAACGGACTACAGAGGTAAGGACCAAGCTGGTTGATGAGGCCTATATCGACCAGCACACTTTTGCTTCTTTTAGTAAGAAAGCACTGGACATAGAGGCAAAGCTAGGATCTGCGCATAAGGCATCCAATGATGGTAGGAAGAGACTGCCCCAAGATTGGAAGAAAAAGGGTCAGTTAATGTTCGTTGACCACGATGGTCAAACAACGGAGATTGACGACTACTCAGATCTTGGG